ATATATATACATATATATATATATATTTATATATATATACATATATAATATACTACTACTTACTACTACCTTGTATTAGTAATTACTTTGTGCTACTATCTTACTTCGCATTTTTTCACTTATTGTGGGGGGTGGCCCCTAAACACTGTGATAAATGAGGGACTACTGTAATAATAAAAACATAACGGGTAGTCCACTGTAAATAATAAGTTTGTTTCTTTCTTACAGAGTGGTATCAATGCTACAGTGAGAAACACCTACAGTCAGACTGCGCTGGACATCGTCTACCAGTTCACTGCAACACAAGCCAGCAGGGAGATCAAACAACTGCTGAGAGGTAGGATGGATGGATGGATGGATGGATGGATGGATGGATGGATGGATGGATGGATGGATGGATGGATGGAAGCAGGGATGGGTAGAATGATGGATGGATGAATGGACAGATGGATGATGGATGAATGGAAGGATAGGTGGACGGATGAGTAGATGGTGGATGATGGATGGATGGATGGATGGATGGATGAATGGATGGATGGAAGGAGGGATGATGGATGGATAGATGGATGGATAGATGGATAGAAAATAGATGAACGGATGGATAGAAGGATGGGTGGATGGATGGATAGAAGGATGGATGGGTGATGGATCAAAGGATGGATGGATGCATTGATAGAAGGATGGATGCATAAAAGGATGATGGATGGGTGGATGGGTGGATGGAAGGAGGGATGATGGATGGATGGACGGATGGAAGGAAGGGCAGATGATGGATGATGGACAGATGTATGTATGTTTGGATGGACAGATGGATGGATGTAAGGATGGATGGACAGATGTATGTATGTATGGATGGACAGATGTATGTATGTAAGGATGGACAGATGTATGTATGTTTGGATGGACAGATGTATGTATGTATTTATGGACAGATGTATGTATGTTTGGATGGACAGATGTCTGTATGTATGGATGGACAGATGTATGTTTGTATGGATGGACAGATGTATGTATGTATGGATGGACTGATGTATGTATGTATGGATGGACAGATG